TATGATATATAGAAACTAATTATTGCTAGCGGAAACCCACTAATCATAAAATTGAAATATATTAGCAAAGCAAGTTTAGTAACAGTTGAATAAAATCAGGAAAGAATAACAATTACTTATTACATGATTACAATATGTAACAACACTACTTAGTAAAAAAAGGAGTGTGAAAAGCCAACTATTTACAAACTATAATCGTAGTTCTGAAATAATTAATAATCTTGTAACTTCAATTACAATTAAAATATGTTAAAATGTACCGATTGAAGTAAGCAGGAGATATAAGTGTAGGTATTATTGCTGGCAGCATGGATTATCAAAAATTAGTGAGGCCGCTGACACGTGCTTCACTCTCAGGGATCGAGCTATCTTGTCCTTTTCGTGCTTTCTTAGCCCGCTCACTCTCCAACTTGTAGATAACAGTCTTAGCAAGGTATTTCTCTCGCTCCATCTGATCCTTGACGCTTTGTGGAACGTTGGGGATGATCACGGCTATGAACCATGCCAGGAAGAACACAACATGCTGTGTACAACAGAAGAGTATATGTAGTGTGTGCCACATATTGCCAGTCAGCAGAGCCAGAGCAAATTCCATTTCAAGTGATATGAGTAATACAAATGTATCGAGAAAATATTTTTTGCGAGCTATAGAAACTTCTTTAAAAACTTTGGATTCACAATCGCTTCTGCTAAGCAACTTCCGTAAAGTAACTGTCTCTGAACCGGAGATTTCCTATAAAAAAATCTTTGAAATGAATGAAGCCCCCAGACTGAGAAGCAAATCCATCATTCTAGAAAATCTTTAAATCCTTTATTTTTCCTACCATTTGGACTTCTTAAATGCAGCATTAACAGTTTCTATAACGGTGGTATATGTGGAATTTTCAACACATTTGCTGATTGGATTTGACAGTATTTGAGTATCTGTTGATTGGCGATAAAACTGTTTAGAGCTTAGTGACTAAATATAAAGAGTGATTCTCACCAAGAAATTTATGATATATATATTTTTATATTATATGACGAGTGGGTAGGAAAATGCATGAAATTTACTGGTTATATGGCCGGCTAGCAGTTTGGAATCAACTCCTCAACATGCCCACGTGTCGCAAAGTAATTGCGCGCCTGTACCTGCCCTCTACACAGTTAGTCGAGGACCCTACGGTCATTACTCACCTCAAATACAACAACAAATGCCAGTTGGGCTGTAAAAATATGCCAATGTTGCAAGTTAACCTGGTATTCCTTTACATCTCCAGGGGGAAATCTGTAGCCTCGGTACCTGCAATAATCAATATCTGGAATCATACATATGCAACAGTAAAGAATGTGGCAATTTTGTTTTAAGTTAGGTTATGTAAACAATGGTCATAGAAACAATTTTGTTTCTTGTATGCGCCTCTATAGCCATCTCCCTTACTCCCTTCTACCACCCCTCCATCCAATCTCTTTCTGTACAGATACTATTTCTTCTTATCTGAAGAAGTTTAATAGACTGATTTAGGCTCCCTCAGCATATCTCTTGAGAAATCATTACTGAGAAAAAATGCAGTAGGGTGACGTCGGAGTGTAGTGAAACTCAGCCCAGGAGCGTAGCTAACCCATTTTACCTGTGGGGTAGCCACATGCGTTATGTGTTCTGGGAAGGTGACCGCCATTGACGATGTATTGTATCTACCTTTTTCTGAGTGGGCAACTGCCCCCCTTGCCCCCCAGCCGCTCTAGCTACGGCCATGCATGCATTGCCCGACCGTGAGGCTCTTAAGCAGAAGTTATATGGTTGAAATATCGAAGCAGCATATAGCCTGCGAGTGATGGTGAAATGCACACAAATACCTGTAATTGGTGAAAGTCATATTAGTTAGCCCTAGATTCTTTGGAGAGGGAGGATGAGTAGGGGCCAGTTGGCCAGCAGCCTTTGGAGAGGGAAACTGTGGAAGAGTGTTAGTATTCAGATGCCTTAGAGAGGGAAGAGACAATCAACTACCATGGCCAGGTATTTAAAAATCGGATATATCGATAGCCACCCATTGACACTTAAGCGGGGTGGCGGAGGGGAATTCTTAGATAGTGGAGAACAGCAAATGCTACAGCTATTTAGAAAAACAACTTTCATATGGCAAACCTTTAAACCCTGTAATAGTTTGTCAATATAATACCTGCAAAATTCGGTGTCTCGAAGTTCTGTGTTAATGGTGATATGACTGTAGTCAGGTCCTGTATTCGCAGGAAAATCTTTTGTTGCAAACACAGACAAACTATTATTCATGTATCCCTCTAAGTTTTTGTTGTCTGAATAACCATACATGTACACCAGCCTCTGTATGAAGTCTGAAGTCGTTGATATCACAAATGCCTAGAAGAAATATATTAAATGACACTCAACAAAATCATGTTTGTGTGACTTTTCGGCAACCATTCACACAGTACACAGCTTACGCATGGCCCTAAGGATGTATAGTTGCAATTATGAGCTTCAGCGCGCTTGCTTCACAATCATTTGAGTTTGTCCACATCATTTACACAGCAACATATATGTGGGAATGTTCAGTTGGCATGTGTAAACCTTAATTGAAAGAAAAAACAAACCTACAGCAATAATGCATATATATACACATCGATATTGCACACATACGCCCTATTCCTTGAGCTTTATGGTAAACTACCTAACAAGACAAGGTATTTAAACATTTTTTAATGACCCCCTTTATATAAATACTTACATTAAAAATAACTGCAAGAATGGTGATGCTCCTCAGAATGCTGTACCAGATACCAATGTCCTGTGCTCTAGCCGCCAGAGGGCGCCGGTATTCCACAGTGTATTTATATGCATCTATTCTGATTTCCATTATGTTGTTAAGTAGAGCAAAAAGTGGAGCCAGAGGAAATGCCGCAACAAACAGTGTGATGAATCCATATTGTATAACTGAAACACATGTAAACACATGCATAAACTAAGAATGCCTTGATAGAAAACAATCGCTGATCTGCCAACAAAAATATTTATACCTAATATTTGCGGGACCGACATTAATCCACACAGCTATAAATATTTAAACTTTGTGGAATAGTTATAGGTTCAAGTGTAGACCTACACCAATGAGGTACTTAGCACCTAGACCTTCACTATATAGTCTCAGTAATTAACACAGCAAAGACAAATGTTCGATATATTTGGTCTACACAAGGACGATATTACTTGATAATATATCGCTAAGAATGTACGACAAATATTGCTTAATTCATTATACCCATTTCGAGGTACTCGTCAAAAAATCCTAGAAGGGGATCTCCTTGGACTAGATAGTCTCTTTCCCAGGATGTGCGAGGAGCGCTTGCTTCTGTCTCTCCTTTCAAAATTTTCTTGATCCATTTCATTAATTTCCTGAAAATAGTGCACAGAAAGAACACTGCAAGGATAATCTAGGCTGTCACATAAAGAAAATAGGCATACACTCATCAGGGAGCCTCTCGAGGCCCCTGCAGCTCTCTGCAGATATGAATGATAATATTTACCCTGCCAACAGACGACGGCTACACAATAGTTACTTTCGAGGAACAGTGTACAGTTGCTGCTACTACCATAAAACCTGCATATATAGGGCTCATATTATATGATACATGAAGCGAAAAAGCGAGTGTCTTAGTGTCAGTAAGATGTATCAGGGCGTCAAGTGACAAGTGACGCTCAAAAAATAGGAAAATAGGAATTTCAGATGTGAAAAAATAGGAGGAAAATAGGAATTTTGGTGAGAAAATATATGTTAAATAGGAATATTTGTTGCGTTAGATGGCCTCCCAACACCCCTACAGCCATCCCAATCCACCACAAATGGTTTTATTAATATACATATTTGGAGTTACATCACATATGCGAACAATATTTTGAGGTTTTAATGAGAAATGCATGTTAAAATTGATAAGCAGTTTATACATGCATAAGACCCATTACATGTAGACTACTCCAAAATAGTATGACGTACATGTATACATGGGGCGATCCGGCTTTTTGAAAAGGGGTCCAGTAAGAAATAAAGGGCACTTTTATAAAAAGGGTCGAAGGCAGCTTATGCGACGTGTCTAAGGCACGTTGCCACTTGGGGGGGGGGGTTAGGGGACCTCCCAAGAAAAACTTTAAAATTGGTGCATTCTGAGAGCACCTGAGCAGTAATTTTGATGTCTAGAATACAAGATGGAATTCCAAATTTTTAAGCAGAAAAATTATCTTTTATGTGTTTTCCCTTTTTGGGGTAAAAAATGGGGGGGTCCGGCCCCCTAGACCCCCCCTCTGGATACACATACCACATCCAACTGAGAAACAACTTTACTAAATAAAATCTGCTGATAGTAAAGAGTATATTACGTTAATTTAAAGTAAGGGGTAGGGGTCTGGGGGTCCTCCCCAATTATTTTTTGAAATTTGGTCACCTAAATGTAAATTCCTGCATTCTGAAAAGGATACATACAATTCTGGATTCAGAAAAATGAAACCCTCAAAATAGGAAAAAATAGGAATTTGTCCAGAAAATAGGAGAAATAGGCATTGCCCAGAAAATAGAAAAAAATAGGAACTTGACGCCCTGATGTATGCATTATATGGTGCATCAGAATACTGCTAGTTACGTGCGGGTAATTCATAAACCTATAACATTTACACGGACATACTTACGGCATGACAATCTCCTTGATATTGTTGAAAAACTGCTTGCCTATCATAATTGTTGTTAGCTGAATGACTAATTCTACCATACAGCCAGAAGGATCACACTAAAAAGAACAAGATAGGACATATTGAACATTGACTCGGGGTATTATTAGAAACTCTAACTATTATTAGAAGTCTAATAACAAGTGCCGCAGAGCGACAGCGCTCACCTGACGGCAGTGTTCGGATGCTAAACTCACTGGCAAACAAATAAAGAGCACCCTTCCATCACCGCGGTTCTCGTGCTCAGAGCATATATCTAGGATACTACTAATACAGAACTAAATCTATGATAGCTAGGCTTTGCTATACGGTTAACAGTAATAAAGATACAGCTGTGTAACTTTAATGACTTCGCTATATTAACATGTTATCATGGATATGCGTCAAGCGCAGAGCGGAGTGGTGGTGGTGGGAGAGTGGGGGGAGGGGGCGGGTGGAAGGGCTCTAAAAGCAAAAGCAGTTGCCGCAGATGGCGCGTGCAAGTGTCATCAAAATCAAAGATGGCATCAACCTTCGTGCGTGATACACTCACTCCATTGAGTTGCTGAAATCCAAGTATATTCAGGCAGGCAAGAATTTCGCTCAGCTGTGAGTTAACACATCTGCATTGCAGGTTGCCAGGCGAATAACTATGATTAGAATAGTGCCAGTCTCACCCCATGCATGCGTAATGGGCTGCCATC